AAGTACCTTTTGGGGGGGGGGGGTCTGGTGCTTATAGAGTTTAGAGTTCATGGACTAGAGTTTGCTCTCCTTTCCTACGGAGACTCCAGCCTTTCAGTAACCCCTAAATCAGAGAAGCTCCCATTTTACTGTCTTGGAAACTGAAAACAAGGTGAGATCTGACAGGTGTCCCACAGCTGAAGTCCAAGACCCCGTGTTTGACTCCCAGTCTGGTGCTTTTCCCACTCACATCCGTTCCTGTCTTCCTCCTAGTTGTGGGGTGCCCCCCGGGGATTCCGTCCTGAGCAGATCTTGCAGCTAGGCCGGCTCCTGAGAGGTCTAGGAGAACGGGAACTGCAAGAGCTTACCCTGGTGGACTGGGGTGTGCTCAGCAGCCTGGGGCAAATAGACGGCTGGAGTGCTGTCCAGGTAACATCTTTCTTGCCCCAGACATCCACCCTATAGACCTAGTCCTCTAAATTATTCAAGCCCAAGGGATTTCCTCTTGTGATCCTATCAGGCCATTTTTTTCTATTTTTTTGATTTGGGGTGTTTTGTTATGCAGCCCACCCTGGTGTTGACCCTCTTACTGAGATGAGGATAGACAGCTTGGAGCTTCTGATTCTCTGCCCCTGTCTCCCAAATTCTGGGATTGAAAGTGTGTCACCACACTCAGCTTGTCTTTTCTTAATACTCTATACAAGTGACCTTAGGAGCTCTGTGATTTATTCTCTGAAGTCCTGGATACAAAGTATCCTCTAGCCCCCTTTGTCTTCCTCCTGTCTCTGTGATGGCAAAGGTGTATCCTTGATTTTTCTCGTGGCTATAGGGTTTTCTGATGTTTAGAACAAGGCAATATAGTTCAGTAGCACCTTCCACTTCCCTGTCATTTTCCCATCCATTAATTCCCCATGATTTATCTTTTTATCCTGTGCTCCACCAGCTCCGAGCTGTGGTCTCCAGTTTCCTGCGGCAGAGTGGTCGGCATGTGAGCCACCTGGATTTCATTTATCTGACAGCTCTGGGTCACACACTCTGTGGACTGCGGCCAGAGGAGTTGCAGCATATCAGCAGTTGGGAGTTTAGGTTACCTATGGAAGGCTTGGGGTGGCGCTGTGGTGGAGATGGGCTGACCAAGGGGTTGTCCCACGAAGGAAGGGAGTCCCTTTGAAGCCATCTCTTCCTCTACCTTATGATCACAGTCTGTGTCATTGGAGCTGAATTCTTCTCCCCTTCCCTCCTACTGCTCCACAGCCAAGCAGCTCTATTCCTGGGCAACCTGCATCTCCCGTGCTCTGAGGAACAGCTCGAAGTTCTGGCTTATCTCCTGGTGCTGCCTGGTGGCTTTGGCCCAGTCAGTAACTGGGGGCCTGAGATCTTCACTGAAATTGGCACAATAGCAGGTAGGGAAGCTGGGCAACTGTTTGTCACTAGTTGCCAGGGTTTTGTTACCACATCATGGGTGGATTATGATAGTTAGATGTGTTCTGCTTCCTTCAACAGCTGGCATCGCAGACCTGGCTCTTTCAGCATTACTGCCGGAACAGATCCAGGGCCTGACTCCTCTTGCCATTTCTGTCATCCCTGCTCCCAAGTTTGCAGTAAGTTTTGGTAGACTGGGACCTAGAGTTACCACAGGGAGAGCAGGGTCCCAGTGAGGTTACAGGGATGTACTGATTGCTGTCCTTACCTCTAGGTGGTATTCAACCCCATCCAATTATCTAGTTTCACCAGTGTTCAGGCTGTAGCGATCACACCTGAGCAAATGGCCTATCTGAGTCCTGAGCAGCGACAAGCAGTTGCATGGGCCCAGCACGAAGGGAAGGAGATCCCAGAACAATGGGGTAAGTAACCAATTACACAGTGTGATAAGCTGTCATCTGACCCAGAGTTCTCGTCCTAACTTGATGCTATCTGGCCCTTAGAACCCACACAGGGGAGTCGCTGGTGTAGAGGGGTCTATACACAGAAAGCTAGTTTCGAAGCACTGAAGGCTCCCGGGGGACAGACTGTGATAGTCTTCCCACTCCTTGTCTTATTACAGGTCGAAGCGCAGCCTGGGGCCTCTATGACTGGTTCCAGTCCTCCTGGGCTCTGGCACTGACCATCAGCTTTGTTGACCACCTCTTATGATCCTGCTCCTTCAGTTCATACTGAACACATTGTAAATGGGAGTACATTCTAATTATTCTCAGTAAGCGGATGAGGAATATGGGTAATGTATTCCACCACCCACCTGAGAATCAGTGCTCCTGGCATCTGTGTCTCTTGCCATCATGAATAACCCCACTGTTTCTTTTCGTCTCCTACTTCCTCCTCACCACACCAATAGAAATAACACAGACAGCTGGAATATAATGTGGAGTCTTTACTAGGACAGGGAGCGAGGGGCAGGTCCAGGGCAAGTACAATGGGCCACCGTTAAATATGCAGAAGTCCTGGGGATCTTGATGCATTTGCTGGGGATGGGGAGTTAATGTTTGCCATGCACGAGAGGTGCAGGGATTCGAATATCCTGTCCTCTCTCCAGACGCCGTTCACACTCAATCAAATAATTTACTCCATCGATGACCAGCTGCACCAGCTCCACCTGAAGGACACTGATCCTTGATCTCTGCTTCCCACCGTCTAACTGAGATGCTTCTTCTTTTTCTTTGTTTATTTGTTTAGAGACAGGATTGCACTGTGTAGCCCTGGCAGGCCTGGTACTTGCTGTGGAGACCTGGCTGGCCTGGGACTCACAGAGATCCACCTGCCTCTGCTGGTCTTAAAAGCACGAGCCACCTTGCCCAGCCTGAGCTTCTTTCCTGTCAGCACTGATCTTCCATCTCTGAAAACACGTTTCCTCTCCCCTCCCCCACTCAACCTGAACTTTACTTCAGATTCTATTACATTCCTGAGGCTCACTCACTGTCTTATCTCAGTTCCTCAACCCAACTCCTCGTAAGACCTCACCTCTGACTTGCCAAGTCGGTCCAAATTAGAGATGTCAAAGACACTGCCTGTGGCAGCAGTGTCCACTCCTCCAGTTCCACGCTTTTGGAGCCGTAAGTTCTCCAGGATCTTTGGGAACCGGCTATCCTATAGGCAAGATAGAAATCAGGAGCAGGTCAGTAGAGGCAGGGGCTGTTCCTACCCTGCCCTAGGCCCTTAAGCCATGATATGACTGGCTCCTTTCAGAGTGCCTTCTCCCTCCCCGTCCAAATCCCCCTTCTCACTTACACCCCTCTAACCCCGCATTTCCTTTACTTTGCTTAGCAGGGGCAGTTTGATGTGCACTCCTGCCCGAAGTCCAGTGCCCAGGTTAGATGGACAGGTCAAGATGTATCCCAAACGTTCATTCCACATGAACTCCCAGCCTCGTTCCTGGATCAGCTTCTCCACCTGTGTCAACAGAGGTTCTGTTGTGAGAAAACCAGGGATGGAAATATCCCTCTTAGTTAGCCCTACAAACACTCTAGAAATATGTCTACAACAAGAAACTTGGGGATGGATGAATGGCATGTTCTTTGTTGTTAAAAATTATTGTCATCACACATGAAAGGTATCTTTGAAATCGCATTATATTTATACTGATAATATTGTGGACAAATAGACTGTTCGTGGAAGAAACTTGAAGGAACAATACATTAAGGGTGACCTATGAAATGAACAGATATGGCAAGCAGAACAGAGAAATGATTGATTGTTCAACGAGGTCTTCATGCATCCATTATCTCCTTAACGAAGAGCAGAGGGTCCTTTCGTACAGAAATGGGGCAATAAGATTTACCACAGGAAGAGGAAGAAGAGCCTACTCTTAGTTGGAGGAGTACATGTAATAGAGAGAAATGAGAAAGTAGAGCAGAGAAGCCAGATCCAGAGGCGTATGTGTGAGAAAAGGGGAGAACAGAGGTGTCCCCATTTTCCTTAACCTAACCACTATTAGAACTGAAGAGACTGGGGCCTTCCAGAGCAATAGACACAAAGGTCACTGCCCAGAATAAGTAAAGATGACACTCTGTAGCTCAGAAGGAATCATAAGCCTGAGGCTAATCATACTGAAGCTAACACTTATTGTAGGATACTTGGCCTGCATTATTTCATTTAATTCTCACTAAAATATAAGCAATCTTATTATCTCAACTTTATAGATGAGGAAGTTGAGTATACAATTAAAGAGTTTTTCTCTACCTACTCATAAAACATTATCCATTCCTTGCCAAAAATAGTATAAGCTTCCCAGCTAGAATCTAAAAGGGAAACTCTCTTTCTTTACAAGTCCAGAAATAAAACTGTAGATGCAAGAATATACAATAAGGATTAGATCTATGGCAGTTTCTAACACAGAATTAAATATAGAGCCCGAGTCCATACAAGACCACAAATTCACCTCTTGTCTAGAACCATACGTTCTAGAACTTAAGCCATCTCAGCCCCCACCTTCCCTCGTCGCTCCTATTCTCAGCTTAAAGCCTAGATACAATGCTAGACAGAACCCTGAGCCAAGGGCCACCTTGGCTCAGAACTGGGTGATGTATCAGAAACATACCAATCTCTCACCCCCGACATCAATCCAGGCTCAACCGTTCTCCTTAGCAGCACATCCTCCCTCACACCACCCACCCCATTGCTGGCTTGCCATCTCATTGGTTCCTTCTTTGCATTACTTGGCAAAGATTATGCTTTATTTCCTTCCTTAAGTTACTGACATTCTTCCTATTTTAAGCATAACTGGATTCCCTGGTTTTCCAAGGATGACCCTGGTTTGTAACTATTGTCCTCACATGATTAATAATGCCCCTTTCTACTATCACCCTGGGTTGGTTGGCAAATGATATAGTCAGTCTACCTATGCTGTTCTTTGGTTTTTCTCACTTCCTCCCACCTAGCTCCCTTGCACACCCTTCTCCAACCTCTTTGAGGCCCCGGCAGAATCTTTCAAACACTCTCTTCATGTTGCCGCCTTTCTCCATAGAGATGACCCGTGTGTGGTCCTCCTCATTCACCCAGATCAAGAAACTCTTCTCATTGTTGTGCCTGAGGGCAGGAGGTAAAGGGGTCAAGAGGCAAGATAAGAACTGAGGAAGATGGAGGGAAAAGAGGAGTGTGTGTGTGTGTGTGTGTGTGTGTGTGTGTGTGTGTGTGTGACACATACAAGGGAAACAAAAAAGGCAGATCAGCCTCATACCAGATTCCTCGAGCATCTGGCCAGTCCCGAGCCATTCCTGCTGCAGTCAGCAATGGAGACACAGGCTTATCAAACAGAAAATGGTCCTGAGGAGAATAAAGGGATTGCACATAAGAATTCTCACAGTATCATCTGGGCCGCTCAAAGTCCATCTGTCTTATCTGACCCAGCCTCCCCCTGACCCTTTTCCATCAACTGCTCCTGCTCCCCAGTTCCCTCTCAAGGCCCCTCACGTCAATAAGTTGTTGCTGTTCCGCCTCCGTCATCTCACTGAGCCTATAGTATCGTCCAGCCAGGTCACCCTTCAGGCCGCTCAGTGCGTCCACCACCACGCGTTCTACCTCTCGCCGCTCTGCCCGAGTGCAGGCTGGAGGCAGACTGAGTCCCCTGATGCTTCGGCCAGTTCTGACTCTTGAGGACAATACATACCTTTCGTCAAAGTAGCCAGAACGGATCTGAGGAGTAAGAGAAATGCATAAGTCACCGACACAGCAGGTGGGAGCTCTTAAGGATTATAAAGCATGCACTGGAAGGAAGGACACATTGGGCAGGCACGCTAACTGGAGAGGACATCGTGGTGTGGTCATTTCTCTAAATTTCCCACTTTGGGTGCAGCCTTTTTTTTGGGGGGGGTTGGAGGATGGGGGTGGTCAGCTGAGACTACAGGTGTGAGCAACCACACCCAGCCAGGACAAAGTCACTTTTTAAAAAAATTCTTACACAATTTCATACACGTAGTGTACTTTGGTCATTTTCTCTCCAACCCCATTATCCTGATATAGTCACTCTTATCCACTGTGTCTTTGTATCTGCTATTCTTCAAGATATACAATTCTTGCTCTTATCAATATCAAAAGCTCAGCAGTATAACCATGAGTCAGGAAACAGGTGTAATGATTGGAGATAGGGAACACTGTGCACAAGGCCGCACAAATCTCAGGTGTCATAGTTGGCTCACTTTACTGGCATCAAGGTCAGTGGTGTGCTTCATTGTTCGGGGGTCATAGCCATTATGTCGCTCTTGGATCACAGGGTCAAACAGTTCAGCAAATATCTGAAAGGGAGTCAAGAGGGAGAGAAGGTTATAAAGAAGAAACTCCCTCCTACACTTCAACTATAGATCGATTTCACTGGGTCAAAAATTTTGAGTATAGATAATCCAGAGTCTTGAGGGAACAGACATGAGGGATCTTTAGGGGGAAGAAGGAACCGGGGTTTCTGGGAGGGTGACTTGGGTCACCAGGGAGACTCTGAGGGGCCCCCTACCTCATAGGTCTCCTCATCTCCAGCCACCATGCCCACAGTCTTGATGAAGGGGTGGCCAGGGTTGTCCACTCCAGTCTGGATGCACTGATCTAGTGTCCAACCAGTGGGTGTGGTCTTGTCGCAGAGCCGAGCATAGACTGCTGGGGTCAGGTGACTGGCCATGCAGTTGTTGTGCTTTCGGAGGTCTGGGTACTCAGCGCTGGGAAGGGGGTACCCAGTAACCATGGAGGGAGGGCACAGGAGACTAGACCTACTGATGTCAGCTGGGAGCTGTCCAGTGAGCCACGTCTGGCTTTGCTCCTTAAAGGAGGGGGAGTTAGAGGTAGGCTAAATCTTGATAACCTCTTTAGGGATTTCCAGGGTCTTTTTTTCTTCCCTAATAGTTCTAGCTGTCTGTGGCTGTCTCAATTCCCCCAGACTTACACAGTTCCTTTTCTCTAGTGAGCACATTAGAGGTGGGGGAGGGGAAAGGCTCAGGAGAATTAAGGAGAACAAGCAGAATAGGTCGGGATGGGGAAAAGGTAGTTTTAGTCATCCAGTAAGAGATTTGGGTAGTGGGTGAACCTAGACTTCGCAGGCCAAAGCTGGCTTGAAGGCAGGGACATCGGGTGACATGTTCTTGCCTTAGGGATTTGGCCCTACTCCTCCTTTACGGCTGGGTTCTCCAGACTGTACAGAAATCCATCCTCGGGGGCCCTGTCTATTGCTCAAGTCATCCTTCCTACCCCTTCAGTTCCCATCATCACCACCCCCAGCCCCCACCTCGTGGGTCTCAGGCACTGATACCTCGGGGGATACAGTCTCCTCCGTTCACTGGCGGCTCGTACAGAATCTGGACGCAGCAGAATCCCAGCGGCTAGAGACCCAGCTCCAGCCAAAGCCAGGAGCCTGAGTCCCGGGCGGGCAGACAGCAGACGGGAGAAGGGACCAGCCATGGCTTGGGGATGCGGCTACTGGATTCGAAGCAGGATTTGGAGCAAGTCAGGAACTAGGAGGGAGGATGCAATCGGGTAGAGAGAGGGCCGGAGCTGGGTCCGAGGCTGAAGCCAAAATAGGGGTCACGATGAAGGCTGAAGCTGAAGTGGCAGTCGGTGCCAACCAGGCTGCAGGGGAGGCGCAGCGAGCTAGCGGCCAGCTAGAGCAGAGGGAGGCCCCAGCCGCAGTCTCCAGGGGTGGGGCTCACTCAGGCTCCGCCTTCCCGCCTGCCACCGCGCTAGGTGTGCGGGGGTAGGGTTGGGTAGCACCAGCCAGGTAATTAGGAAGGCCAGAGACTCACTCGCTAAGGGGGACATAAGCCCACCAAGAATGAGGGTAGTCAGATTTCAGCACCAAGTAAAGGACAGCACCACGGGGATTCCCGAACCTGAAACCCCCTTCTTCCATGCCCCCTCTGTTTAATCTGAAACCCAATCCCTCTATTTTGTGGGTAATGGGGGGGTGTGTGACATTGCTCAGCCTCTTCTCTGAATTCGATCTGCACGCAATCTCTCCATTTTCCCCAGGAGAGGCAGCCACAGGAAAACCACAGAATAAACAGATACGGAGGAAGGCTGAGAGAGCACAGGGGAACAGACACCCGCTGCCTGCCTCAAGGTCACCTTTCCCTAAGAACCAGGAAGAGGATCAGGGAACTCCCTGCTACACCTATTCCTCTATACCTCCCTAACACGGTTGAGAAAGGATTACTTGGGAAGGATCAGGGAACTATTAGCTTTGATTCCTTCTGTGCTGTCGTCTCCCACACACACTGCCCCTAAGTCTTCAGCTTGGCTTATTTCCTGCCTCCATTTCTCATGGGGCCCTACCTCCTCTTTTTTTTTTTTTTTTCCTCTACTCTATCCCCTACTTCACCTTTAATCTTTTATTTCTCTTCCTCCATTCCAGGCTCAAACCTGTCCGCTGTTCACAGGGCTTCTAAGTAGTGTCTGAAGCTTGCCTACCTGTTGATTGCTCTGGGCGTGGGGCTGGGGTTGGGCAGGGAATGGTGAGTTTCTTCTTCCTTCTCTCCCTTCTCTGCAGCTGGCAGTTCCTGGACTGGAGGGGAATATAAAGGGGAGGAGGGTGTGGTGAGATGACTGGGTGTGGATTGGAACAGGCAGGCACAGGTCTCCAGAACCACATGGGTTTCCTCTCTCGGCTCTCTAGCGCAGTTTAATCTGGAGTGTAGAGGCTGCTGGTGTCCAAGGGCAGAAGGTCATCAAGGAATCCCTGCCTTCTTCCTGGTCCCCTCTCTCTTTTGTGAAATGCACATTCAGACACAGCTACAGGTGGGACTAGGTGCAACTTGACTTTCATTATAGCAGGCAGGGAAAGAAAGCTGGAGTTGAGATAGGCCCCGGGCTTTGGTGTGGCGGGCCAGTCAGAGCAGAGCAGACATACTGGCATTAATGTATCTTCCTCAAGCTTCCTGATGTTCCAGAGCACAGTAAGCTATTTGGAAATCTTAAGAGTACTTGGAAAAAAAGAATTACCCTCAAGTGCCCCCCATGTCTACTTTTTGACCATCCTTATTTGTGAGTAATCTTAGGAGCTACACATTTCTCTTTAAACCCCTTCTCTTGATAAAACGCAATTCTCAGAGAATAGGTTGAAATCCACTGTTGGAGCTTGCTCACTTTCAGAGAGACAAAAAAAAAAATGTTACCTAGCTGTGGGTGTTCATTATCTAGGTGAAGGGGTAGGTATGAGTAAGTAAATGTAATTACCTGGGATGGTGTATATTTACCCAGATAAAAGAAGGAGATAATCTTCCAGAGCAACGGGGCTGTTATTTGGCTGAGAAGGTGTTCAGGAGACAGGAGTGGGAAGGGAAAGTAACAGAAGGAGAATAAAGACAGCTAGAGTGGTGCAGTTATTCAAGTTTGGAAAATGCCTTCCTTCATGAAATAATAGCTATGCTGAGAAGAATCACACATTTGTGTACTTTTCTTATTCTTTGCAAGCCCCTGACAGGCATGCCATGTGTTGTTAGTCATTTAAAAAATTACCTTATGGGACTGGAGAGATGTCTCAGAGAACTTGGGTTCAACTCCTAGCACCCACATTGTGACTGACAACTGTCTGTAACTCCAGTTCCAGGGGATCTGATGCTCTCTTCTGTTCTTCAGGCACCAGGTACACACATGGTGCACAAACATGCAGGTAAAACACCCACACACAAGTAAAAAATTATTCTCTTGCATATGGGAAGCATATATATATATATATATATGTTTATTTGTTAATACTTATTGTTGCTAATATTTAATGCTTTAAAGCACTTTACAGTTACAAGGAACCTGCTGGGCATTGGTGGTACATGCCTTTAATACCAGCACTCAAACATCAGAGGCAGGTGGATTTCAAGGACAGCATGGTCTACAGAGTGAGTTCCAGGTTAGCCAGGGCTATATAGTGAAACCTGTCTCAAAACAAAAACAAACAAAAAAAACTCCTACAATTACAAGGAACCTTTATATGTGTATTATTTCACATTCTTTTTTCTGTGGAATCATTGGAGAAGTTTTACACTTGGGAAATGCTGTAAATACTTGCTGTAATGGCTGGAGCTGTAGAGGAGGTATGAGTCTGAGCATTAACTATCACTGTTTATTTGTAGACCCTGTCCTTAGAATCATCTTTATCCATTCAGGAGGCTTGCGAGCAGGAGCGGGGCCCACCTCATCAGTAAGCCAAGACACCTAACTAGAAAATTGTGAGGTCCCCAAAGTTACAGAGAACAAATGGAGAATTTCAAACTCTTGACCAGGGAAGCCTAAATGAAAGATTCAAGGATAACAATAATATACATACAAGAAAAAGCTTTCATATGAGCATATGTGTTCTGTTTAGATAAGAAATGCCCTTTATAGGCTTATGTATTGGAGCTTGGTTACCAGCTGAGGGACTTCTGTAAAGTAATTGGATTCTGAAGGCTCTGATCTAATCAATGGATGTATCCCTTGATGGATTCATACTGTGATGACATTATTGGAACACAGTGAAAGGGAGGGTTGGGGCCTAGTTGGAGAGCGTATGTGTCTGTGGACGCCTGGGAGGAGGCATCTTGTCCTCTGCCCCTTCCTGCCTCTCTGTTTTCTATTAGCCAACAAGCAAATACCTTTACCCAGCCTCTCCTCATAGCCAAAACAATGGAGCTAAGGATCAAAACTTCTGAAACCCTGAGCCAAATAAATCTTTTCCCCATAGATTGCTTTTCTCAAGTATTTTGTCACAAGTAGCAGCACTATGCAGATTAGGTGTTTGGTTCCATCCTTACAAATAAACACGGTGGAAGCTCCAGGAAGTAAAGTAACTTCCCCAAAGTTAAGAGGATTCATGACCGGCTTTTCAGATTCCAAGGCTGGAGAACAGATAAGTAGAGTGTGGAGACAGACATCAGTTTGCTCAGTTTTCCATGTCCACCGTTTTCTTCTATAAATCAGTCTCTTTGTTCTTCCAATTAACTTTCCCCATCTGCTTCTGTCTGTCTCCAGCGTGCCTACCTCTTCTCTTTCCACCTTCTGGCTCAATGTCTAACTATATCACATCTGGATTTGCTTTACAGAGAAAAAAAACCCCAAAACACAAAAACAAAAAAAGTCTCGGTTTTGCCCTCAGGGAACTGCAATGTCACAAACTTTGCCTCTTCTTCGTTTATCTCCTCTCTTCCAATGGTCTCACTGGTTAGCCTCTGCGTCTAGGATGGGGACTGGCGACGCAGTAGGAAATCAAGAGGCAGAGGGGCATCAGGTTGCATTTCCCTGGACAGCCACTAGGAGCCACCCTCCTCCACCCTGAAGCTCCGGCCAACGCAGCCTGACTGTTGCCGGTGCGCGCCCTCTGCGGATTGGCGGGACCGCAAAGAAGTCGCGCTCTGATTGGGCCGCTGTC